CCTACAGGTGTCCAAGCAGTCAGTGAGCATTAGGGTGCCCGGCTGGGAGTCCATCAGCTTCTCGGGCGCCGAGAAGACGTATCTGGCGAAGGACTCGTCAGTCAAGCAACCATTTGGGGCTATGACAACCCATCATCGCTTACCCTGTCACTATTTCAAAGCCCACCAGATCGGGATTGCAGTCCACAGGCGCGTTATCGTAGTAGATGCCATCCTCCTCGGAACCCAGGGAGCTGGACAAGTCCGAGACAGCTGGCAAATCGAAGGCCGAGTTGCGGGTCTCCAGATTTTCCACCGGCCTCTCAGTCCTATTGATTTCGGTGGGGCTCTCCTTGGCGCCGGGCAGCTCCGTCTTGTCCTCGATCTCCTCGGAGGCAATCACTTTGCTGGCATTCGGAGCGGCGGCAGTCACCGATTCCGCAGCCTGTCTTCGGATTCGCAGGTGCTCCTTGGCCGTGGCCGCACTATAGAGCATTAGGGCCAGGAACAGGTGTCGCAATAGGTTGATCTTGGCCATCTTTAGAGTGTCACTGGGGCCTGCAAAGAGCGGGGCATGTGCATACATTTGAGACAGTGTTACTTAAGTGAGATCACTTCAAGTGATCCAAAACTCTCTTTTGCTAGAACCCCTATAAGTCCCAACAACTTGAATGGTTACTGCTGGCTAACCCAGGCAGAACAAATATTATATTAGCCCAAAGTCATAAGCCATAACGATAACCTTTATTTATAAAGCGCGCTAAATTGCCTACGCAGGCGCTGTCTCAATCTCTTCAAATTAATTTGTTTGCCATAAGGCGTAACGCGAATTATGAAGTCGCAGAAACAATATCATGGCCAGTTACTCAGCCCCACTCCAGTCTGTCCAGTCTATTCAGTGATCCATTCCGTTGGGAAGCGGAGCTCACGTCGATGACCCCGTGCACTATTCACCAGATTCACCACTACTCGCGATCCCCTGATTTTTTCTGGTCCGCTGAGCTAAACTCTTGCGCAACAGCCAAGTTAATGGGCATCGCTTATGATTGACGGTTTCGCTGGAGAGACCATCAAGGGGTCATGAGCTCTAATTTTTCGCCAAGTACCATGTAGAACTTGTTTCGCCCGAGCCCAAGGAACCCAAGGAACCTTTAGGAACCTCAGGAATCAGGGAACCCAAAAGGAATGGACAATTTTCAAAATTATTAATACAAATACTTGCGAGACGGGACAACAATTCAATTATAGAAAAGAATATTATTACGACAGCGAATAATTGCCATTGGCGAGTATCTCGTTAGGAACCCACTTGGAGCATGACTTATTAACATGATAACTGTATTAAGAGAACTCCTATATGGTTCTTAGCCATAGCTGGGGCTAGCTACACAGTTATTCCATATGAATTCTCATGAATAGCCATGTGTGCAGAAAAAATTGGTGGGTAATAGATACGGATAGGCTGGAATACGGACACGGATACGAATAGGTGGGGTGTGTACAGTGTATAGGAAACGCATGACTGCCGACGCACCAGACACACTAATCCGCTGGGGCGACGTTCCAGCCAAAACCAATCTGCTGGCACTGCGAGCTGCTCCACTCTTTGCAGATGATATATAAGCATAGGAACATACCGTTAAGACACCGCTTGATTCATGATTCATAGGCCCTGCAGCGGTCAGAACAAGCCGTACTTAATTAGAGATAAAATGCTTGAAAGACTTTTGAATGTTTTATGCTTTTCCTTTCCTCATTCGAGGTATTCGGGATAGGGAATCGCATGAATACGTCGGGCTCTGGTGCACATGACCACACAGCATTCGGCAGTGCCATGTAAAGAGTGGCCACTCAGGAAGCTGCATTTTAACGAGTCCATGACCATGTTATTGTACAAAAATCTTGTAGAAAGCGGCAGAAGAATTGGGTCAATGATTATCGTCAAAAGCTGTTTTGCCGAGCATAGACACATGCATGTACATGGACGCATGGACATGGGTATTGGTAGCTGCGCCCGCAGCGATCAGGTCGAGCCCCAACCGAAACCGAAACCCAAGCCGAAACCCAACCGGTATCCAGTGGTACCCAGTGGTATCGACGTGAACAGCCCAAGGAAATAGCACCGCCAAACTGTGTCGCTGATCACAATCGATTAGTGCGAACAGTCGCTTATTGCCCAAATTACTGTTAAATGCTCGTAGTTTCTGGGGGCCAAGAATGCGGGGCCCACTAAGGTTTTCCTACCAATTGTGGGCTGGAGGCCCTGCGAGGTCTATAAAAAGGAAATGGGCGAAGGCCTACTCTTCGATAGATGGGCAGTAAAAGTAGGAGTGCTGAAGGACACTTAACTCCTTTTTCCTAAATGGAGAAAGCAGTTGTGTCTTGATGATTTATGCCAAGTTTTATGAGAAAGAAAAATGCTATGCTGGAAAGAATACTTCTCTATATCAGCACCCAGTAAGATTCTGCTCTTTGTGCATTTGCCAGTACAAAGTGGATCAATCAATCGAGTAAACACATCACAATACCGCTTTTGGGTTCACTGTTTCGGGCCAATCAGCACTTGTTAACCGTTTGGCACTTTCGAACTTTTTCTTTTATTTGCCTTTTACTGCGAAACCTTTGTTTCTGCGACCTTACAGCTCTTTTTATGTCCAAGCGCGTCTACACCCATTCTGACCGACTTCAGCTTCATTCACATTCAGCCCAATTCCAGAATTTCAGATTCCAGGTGCATGATGTAATTAAAGGGTCCACCGAGAGTCAATAGAAATTCAATCTTCAAGAGAGACCGCCAAAAGCAAAACTTTCACCATTCTGAATGTGTTAATGACTTCATTTCTCCGGTGACTAAAGCCTGCCAAAATTCAACGGCAGGCCTCACACTGTTAGATTAATTTGCCATTTGGCGAAACTTTGATTATGGCCAATTCGGGATTCGTGGCTAATCACGGGACCACTAACGATCTACTGTGTCAGCTTCCACTGGCTCGGTGCCTTCTGCCTATATGCGTGCATAGCTCCATTATGGCCCAGAAGCTGGCATCCGTCGGTGGAGCACCCGATGGCCAGGACGGACGTCCTAATGCTCGCCAATGTTTTGACGGAAGCTGCAGACTGGCTGCAGAACCTCGAAGATTGGTGAAGAATGGGTGTGGAATCGCGAGTCTGGAGCGTCGGTCTTTTGCATTCTGCAGTTTCCTCTGCTTCGTGCGTTTTTGCAGTTCACTTTTTCAGAATGATTGTCTCCGTTTTTCAATGCTGAACGCTGGCATAGGCTAGTCATCCGTCAGTCCGATCACTGCCGTTTAGGTAAACCGGTTAACATTTTTTGTTCAGATTTTTCTTAGTTATTCTTCAGTCGGTGCAGTGGCTGCATATTCTGAGTAGCGGTTCGATGCGGATCGGATGGGATCGGATGGGATCGGATGGGATCGGATCGGAGTTGGAATGAGCGCGGCTCTGTTGCCACACATCGCTTTCATAACCATATCCATATCCAAATGGGCTCGCCAAACAATTACCTAATTAAGCAGTTCGTTGCCGGAGTCTTTCCCGAATTTTTAGCCTAGTCACACTGAGACAAAACACTTTCGCAGCCCAAGAGCAAGATCTTTCGCAGTGGGAATTGTGGGTTGGAGGGAGCACCGAACTTGACCATTCGATGGTCGCCGCAGAACTGAAGACTTCCACGCCGCCGAGTGACTTGTTATAAAAATTAGATAAAGAAGTTCTGGGAGCGGGCTGCCAGCGACTGCGAGAGAGCGGGACGCAGTTCGTCTTGGAGTTGGAATTCTTACAAAAGAAAGTCTCGGGGCGATGGATGTGGATGATGCTCGCTGCGGAGAGAACCTCAAACAGAAGAAATTGTTAGCATGGTAAACACACCAGCCAGCGCTCGTCTCTGGGTCTCTTCCGAGTCGGGCTCGGATCGCATGAGTATCACCTGTGCGGGATCTCTACACTTCCAACTCGAACGTGTTGGGGATGCAACCCATTGGATGATCGCGGTCAACGCTCGAGAACAATGTGCACCTGTCTGCGCTCTTCGGCTCTCTTGGCCTGTTCCTAACATCGCCAGCATGAAGGTAAAGGAAGGCACTATGGTGGCATTATGGCTCCCAAAATAATTTTCTTATGGGCCTGTTAGCGCCCAGGGCCGGCAGAAAAGCCACGCGTAATAATGGGTTTTGGCTTATAACTGTCGCTTGCGTTTTTACTATTTTTCACTTTCACTAATGAGCCGCGTGAAATCGCTCGTCACCCATTTTCTCCCATTCTAGCCTAATCGGCTTAGGCCAAATCCACCATAACAATTTGTGTGGGCTTAGGTTCGGTGTTTTCTTCTACTCCATTTCGACTGGCAGGCATCCAACCATCCAACCATCCCACTGGATGGATGGAGATCAGTGATATCTGGCGATCTTGAATAGCCCACTTTATTGGCGGAGACAGCGCTTTCGACGTGATATCCACGTTAGACTAGAATGGCCCATCAAACGGTGTTTGATTTCCAAATTTATGGGTCAAGCCAATGCAAATCAGTTGATGGGTCCGTTCCTCGAGAAAACGGGTCGTGCTTTGATAACAAATTGGGCAAACAATAGATGAGTGGAGGCCAAATTTGGCCATTAATGCTATTCGAGTGATATATGTGAAAACCGAGGCGAACCGGTCCGAAGAAAGCCCTAGTTATTGAAAGATGATTCATAGCAGATGCGAGGCCACTTACCCTCGGAGTGCCTTAAACTAAGAGGTATTCGTATGTCGATTGTGATCGGACAAATGAGCTGGAAAGAAAGAAAGCACAAATCCACTCTTTTCTGGCATTTGAACTAATTTGAACTTTAGTCGGGCTCTAATAACTTACGACACGAACGAAGTTTAGTCATATTCTGTCGGCGAACTTGAAATCTTACGAGATAAACGAAACCTCTTCCTAATTACAAAATAATGGGCACTTATTGAAATGCTTTTTCTCATTATTTTTCACGTTCTTGCGTACTTAAAGGCCGCTCTAAAAGCCGTACATTCCTACTTTGAAGCGATTCTTTCCCCGTTTAACTGAAAATGATGTTCAACGTATGGTGCAAAGTATTTCTCCTCCATGTTGCTGGGTGTCTTTCTCTGGAGAGTCGGCCAGATCCACGCATAGTCGGTGGCTTTCCAGCCGATATCGCCAACATTCCCTATATAGTGTCCATACAGCTGTACGGCATCCACCATTGTGGCGGCTCCATCATAAATAACCATACCATCCTAACGGCTGCCCATTGTTTATCCGGAGTGTCACGTCGTCTGCTGAAAGTTAAGGTCGGCGGAACGTCGCGCTACCGCAATGATGGGGAACTATTCTCGGTGGCTGACCTGCATACCCACGAGAAGTTCAATGCCAAGACCATGGACTATGACATCGGAATCATCAGGTTGTCCAAAAACCTAACGCTTTCTAGAAAGGTTTGCAATACTCTCAGCTAAGAGCTGTTTAATAGTTCAGTCAATTGCTTTGTAGGTGAAGGCCATTCCCATAAACCCCAAAAAAGTAGCCGAAGGCATCTATGCCACCATTGCCGGCTGGGGATTCAAGTCCATGAATGGTGCTCCCTCGGATAGTCTGAGGTATGCTCGAGTTCCGATCGTGAATCAGGCGGCCTGCAGGGACTTACTGGGCAAAAGTGTGACGGATCGGATGCTCTGTGCCGGCTACCTCAAGGGTGGCACGGATGCCTGCCAGATGGACTCCGGAGGACCCTTGTCGGTGAGGGAGCAACTGGTGGGCATCGTGTCCTGGGGAGTGGGGTGCGCCCTGGCGGACAAGCCGGGAGTGTATGCCCGACTCGATGAACTGCATCCATGGCTAAACAAGGTCTTGAATAAATCATAAAAAATAAAGTGATACCACTACCAGTTTCACTATTCCAGCAGTTGGCACCCATGAAAAGCGCATAAAAACGGGGAAGGTAATACTTTCACCCCAGAAGTAAAGCGCATTTTATCGTAAAAAAAAATAATAAAAACTTTAAGATTCATAAAAATGCAAACTATTTATGAATAGTAAGCGAAAAGCGTTTACGATGAAACTTGATGTGCTGCTGTATTAGCCGTTGCTAGTTTAGTGCCCAAATCATATGTGTTCCCGTTTCCAGCTATTTAGAAAGATGTTCTAAATTCTAAATTGCTTCTTTTTCTGTGTCAATCAATAGATTTAACGCAAATTAAAAACAATTAAGAACTTTTTCATAACGGATTTCACTGAAGCCACTTTTAAATATTTGAAAAGCAGAAAATAGTGCGACCATGTCAATGCAATAACCGGTATATGCATTAGCACGGCCACACTCATATCACAATAAAAACATAACAAATAATACGAATTAATAACAATGGACCTGCAATTCGACAGCGAAAGCTATTGGAACCGATCCTCCCGCGCAGCGTTCAGCTTCGACGACGAGGACGAGGTGGACCTCGCCCCGGATCTGGCCAGTAATGGAATCCTCGCCGACGACACCATTTCGGAGGCCAGCTTCAACAACAGCGTCGCCCTGAATCTCTCGATCAAATCCATTCTCAGCGAGGAGGCCTTGAAACTGGTGCTGCAGGAGCAGGCACTTGACGACAGGGTCTTGCCCAAGGGCGTCTCGCCGGAGGAGGAGCTGAAGCTGCTGCGCCGCCAGCTTCAGAGCACCCTGTACAGTCCCAATCTGGAAGTCACCGCACAGAAGTTGCTGCAGGGAAAAACAGCACCCTTGGAGATGTTCAAGTCACTGCAGGAGAAGCAGCAGCTGCTGGACACCCTGATGGCACAAGGCGGTGGTCATGCCGTCATCACAGTGTTGCTGTTCCTCAAGAGAACTCTCCATACCACGCAGTTCCATGGCATTCTAAGGGATAGGCCCAAGGCCTTGGAGCAGTATCTGAGTTATCTGAAGGAGAGCGGCGACCTGGCGGGTTATATTGAGCTACTGCAGCTATTTGGACGCCACCAAGAGGCGGCTCTTAAGCAGTTTGAGGCAGCGCTGGCTTCCGGAGATGCGAGCATCAGGAAGAAACACCTCCAGCTTTTGGTGGATGCCTATGCCACAGCGGGAGTGGGTGTGATACCTCTCTACGAGCAGGTTTTCCACGCTGCCCTCAAGATGCAGCAGCTGATGGAGAAGGATAGCGGTCTCGGCAAGCTGCTGCGGGATCAGCCCACGCCAGTTGAAGTTCTCTATGCCTGCTGCCAGGTGAACAGCAATTGGAAAGAGCAGGATATGCTGAAACCCGTGTCCCCTCAGCGATTTGCCACCGATCAGCAAATCTCCCCGGCCCAATACGAGTGGACGGCGCTCAATGAAAGGGCGCAGGCACAGGCCTATGCGGATCTGGAGTGCATATTCGAGCGGGTGCCCAGTTGGCATCCGCTGAAGACGAAGCAGTTTCACATTAGCTTCGATCTGACCCTGGCCGTGCTCCGGCTGTACGAGCTGCAGGCTCCGTCGACCGTTCTGCAGCTCTTCCTCTCGAAGATGGGTAACAGCGTGGAGAAATTGGCGCTGGCCCAGCGGGTGAAGTGCATCAAGGCGGTCGTAGATGCCATGGCCGCGCTGAAGCAGCACCAGGAGCTGCAACAGCTCAAGGACACCCTGCCCGATCGTTCCGAGGAGCAGTTCTACTGCGAGAATGCGTTGAAGAGCCTGCAGAGCAAGCGCTGGACCACGGAAAACATCAAGCTCAAGTTGTAGATTCGACTCACTTTTATTTGTATAAACGTATTTTATTGTTAATCATTTAGGTGTGTATATAATTATATTACTGCTACTCTGGTTTTATTAAATAATTGCAAATCACAAGCTGAATATCGATATCGAATAAAAAAAAGAAAATGTGTATGTTCCGTATGTTTCATGTGTATATCCTGCAGCCTCAGTGGATCTGTTCGATGAGCAGTTTTGGATTACTTTCTTTCTCCGATTTCTGTGTAGTTTATTGAGTAAACAAATAAAAGCAGGCGTAGCCAATGGCAAACAAAGCGTTACAAAAATTGGATTCTTTAAACAATTTGTTTGTCTTAAATATTTCGTTTAAATAACAGCGCTGTAAAAAGCATTTGATGTATAAATAACCGCAAACAACAATTATGGTATATATATATATAGTTACGCGTAAACATGTAAGGGAAGATGGGGCCTGGGAGTCTGGGGATTGTGTGTGCTTGGGGCAGTCCCCGGTTCCAGGACCGAACGAAACATATTAAACAAGACAGACGACGAACGACGGGCCCTCAGCTGATGCGTGTTGAACGAAACGTGAGAGGATCCAGGATCTGAACCGGAAACGAGGCTCCAGGGCTCAGCCACTGCTAATTGGCAGCCTCGCAGTCCGAGTAGCTGAGCAGGCGCTGGCACAGGATCGTCTTGAACTTGACCGTAAAGCTATCGAATATGACGTCGGTGTCCTGCAGCTGTTCGAGCTCCTGGCCGGCGGACGTGGCTGCCTGATTGCTGTCCGCTGCCGCGATGAGCTGCTTGAACTTCTGATTGAGATTCTGCTCCAGCGTCGAGTTGTTGTTGTTGAAGTAGAACACGTAGGCCAGCTCCAGCAGGTAGTAGTCCAGATCGCCCATGAAGAACCGCTCGCACTCCAGCATATCGAACTTGCGCTCCAGGAAGTGCAGACACAGGTGGTAGATGAGGTGCTTTAGATCGGATCGCCTCAGCGGTACATAGCCCGTGTCCTTGCTGAAGTACTCGAACAACTTGAGGGTGCGCTGGGAGGAATCGCAGCTTTGCAGGCACAGCCGGAAGGCCTCTACGAAGCGAAAGTTGAGCATGCAGATGCGTATGCGGTACTCGTTGCGATTTGGACGGGCGCACTCGCCAATCTTGTCGGGATTATACAACCCGTGAAAGGCGTACAGACAGTAGTGGATGTAATGGCGCAGGTGCTGCAGCGATGACTCCCCCATTCCCTCGGTGCTCTGCGTGTAGGTGCTGCCATCATCATCATCGCGGCCCAGCAACTGCTCTGCATTTGCGGGCATTCCAGAACCCAATGCCTGTTCTGGCAGCGGCACGTAGCTCTGCTCCTCGGGTGTGTAGTCCATATCCAGCGAACTGTGGGCATCGCCCAGCACAGGAGCGTTGTAGGAGAAGCTGGCATCGTTCTGACTCAGGTTTTCGAGGCTACTCAGCATGTCGTCCGAGTCCTGACCGGTTGCCGCGTGCTCCGTGCTGCTCTTGTAGTTCGGAGTGCCCACCGAGCAGTGATGATCGAAGCTAATGTTTGCCGGCTGCAAGAAGTGCGGCTGATATGGCGGCATAACCTTTAGGTATCTGACCGGATCCTGGTCCAGTCGAATGCGCGGTCTCGGCAGATTGATCTCCACCGGTGCTTCCACGCACTGGCTCTCGAATCGCATCAGTCGCTTAGTCGTGGGAAGGCACACCACCCTCTGACGCATCCTCTCCACACTGGGTCCCAAGTCTCGGCCGCACTGACCATTCGAGTTGCCGCCAAAGGCACGCACAATGTGATCGGTGGTCATGACCAGCGTGAAATCCGAACCACAGTCTACGTACATCGGACGCTCGATGCTGTCGATGGGCGAGGGCTTAAGCACCGCCCTTCGATCTTTGTCCTCGGTGCCGAGTTGGTGTTCCAGGTTCTTGCCCCACGTGTAGAGCGTGCAGCTGGACGAGATCAGACAGAAGTGGAACAAGCCACTGGAGATCTAAAGAACGATTTTATACGATTTTATATTAATAAAGCAAGCTATTGCTAGAGCGTGGTTTAATTACCTGCAGGATTCGTCCTGCGACCTCGCTGGTGTCCACTAGATGGGGCGTCAGATGCTCCGTGGGATCTGGTTCTGGGACAAGCACTGGCGGAGAAGCCACGGGGGCTGGTGGTGGCGCCGCTTTTGCACACGCCGGTGCAATTGTTTCCGTAGCATCTGATGGCGCAGCCTCGTTCTGCGCCTTCTGGCAATCTTTGGTGTTGCTGGTGGCCTTCGGAGTGGCGCCGGCGACCACCGCCGCATAGGATGTGGTGGGCTCCACCAGAGTGCTGGTATTTGGGATGGGTGCCGGCAGCAGGGTAGCCTCCAGTTGCTTGCTCAACAGCTCCCGCTGCTGATTCTCCTCCATTTTCTGCTTGGCATTGGCGCGCCGCTTGATTTGATTGGCCAGACGCAAGGCCTGCGGCGAACTACCCCAAGTGTACAGACGATCCTGTTCGTCTACAGCTAACTGTGGGCATAACAAATGTAGCTTGGAACCCAATTCTCTCACTTCGTTAACTTACATTGGTAAAAAATTTGGTGTGTATCAGTCTTAGGCTGCAGCCGCCCACTTCCAGGCGCACTGGCAGGTTCGTCTTGGTGTCGCCGTGGTCACTATTGCCGGTGCCCAGCTGGCCAAAGTGATTGGAGCCGAATACGAAGAGCTCGTTGCCGCAGTAGTTAGCCTCCATGTGGCTGTTGGGTGCTCCACACAGCACCAAGGTGTGCGCATGCCCCAGCGATATTTGTAATATTTTCTGTAACATTAAGATCATTCATGTAGCAAGATTAAATGTGCAAATGGATTAAATCACCCACCTTAAATTTGAAAAAACTGACTAGTTGTGGAGTAGCTATATTCTCGCAGCTTCCCTGTCCAAGCTGCCCATAGACGCCCCATCTGAAAATGGTTTATTAATAACTTAGTTCACTAGGCACGGTTTCAAAACTCACCCCCACATATAGAGCTTCCCATCGGCCACTGCCGCATTATGATATTGACCCGCCTCGAGCATCGTTATGTTCATGCCATCCAACGCGGTCACCAGCATTGGCTGCAAGGCCATCTGCATATGTCGACCTATGCCCAGTTGGCACAGGTTGTTGTTTCCCACAGAGTAGAGCTGAAAATAGCAGAGGAAGTTAAGGCAGAACCCATTGGAGATCGTTTTTGCAAAACCTACGCCATTATTAGTTAGAATAAGTGTGTGTTGACGACCGCACTTGATGGCGTGCACTTGCAAATTGAGCTGGGAGAGGAGATCTAGACTTTTGACGGCGTGAGCGGGCTCAGGTGGCTCTGAAATAAGAGTGTGAATAAGTACCAAAAGATTGTTTATAAACCATTGATCGAACCTGTTGACTTCTGAGCACTGTAATAACTGGGAATGCCGCTGGAGCCCCAGAAGTAGGCGGTACCATCCACAACACAAGCGCAGTAGGCACAACCAGCTGAGATCGGTTTGAAGCGCGATGATTCAATGGCGAACTAAAGGATTTCAATCCAAATAGACGTGAGACATGCCCGGAAAATGGCTGAAATACTTGCCTGATTGTCTTCATAGTTGATACGGAAATTTGATAAAGCATTTACAATTGAATCATGCTTCACTCGCTGGGATTCCATATGAATAAGCACCGCTAGATAGGTTTCAATTAGACTCTTGCAAAACTCGAACAACTGCGGATTGTTATCGTTCGACAGCGCGCAATCACTATTGTGGGATACAATGGGTCTTAGAGCGGGCGAAAAAGGATTCAGTTGCTTCGACAGGCGCTGGGAAAAAATTAATTATTGTAAGTAAACTGTGGAACATATAGAAATATTGTGCTTACCTGCAACACACACGGTCTTATGTGATCCAACTTCTCCTGAATGAAAGCAAAGTAATCCATGGACACGTGCGGCAAGTAAGTTATTGTCTCCATAAATATATTCTCGCTGAGATTGTACAGGCAGACGTTCAGCTCGTTGTACCATCCAAACTCCTGGGCCACCACGCTGATCAGGGCATTGAAAGTATCCAGGCATACGCCCCGTATTTTAGCCAGTATAATGGCCGACGAGAAGAGTCCACTTTGGCAGAGAACAATGCTCGTCATGTTGGTGTGATATTTGCTATTGGTCACCAAAAAGTTCCTGCAACATAATAATAGTTACGCAGTGTCCACAGATAAAGTTCATGCACCTACCACAGCGGTGTATAGTTCTTATCGTTCACTGCCTTCTCAGCCATCGTGATGAGCAACAAGTTGGCCAAATGGAACTGCGAAGACGGCGACATTTGAAGGGCGCTAATCGACTCGTCCACGCCATAGTGATAATCGCTGCAGAAGACGCCGCTGTTCACATCCTCCTGCTCATGTTTCTCGGGCAAGATCACACGGACATCCTCTGAGTGGCGATAGGTAATGTCCCCCAAAATACCCTTGAGCAGCGGGTGACCCAAGTACCGCGAGCGCAGCAGATATGTGGACTTCAGGGCCATAGCACTCAGCTGCATTAGAGCGTAGGTGTGTCCGTACATGGCCAGCTTCAAGGCAGTGCGTATCGGTTTCACCCGCGCTTTGTTGTACGTGAGCAGGGCCTGAGTAATCTTCTTCCGCCTGAGCAGATAATCGCCGGCAAACTCGATGCACTGCTCGAAGGAGAGGTCGAAGGTGTTGCAGAAGTCGCGGCACTGGTTAAACTCGTTTTGCAATGCGGCATCCAGGAACAATTCGAACGGCTCCTTTCTGCAAAAAGTATTTCCAGTTCAGTAAGCGACTTTGGCGTGCAACAAATTGAAAACTTACTTCAGCTGTATGGTGTATACATTCTTATTGGTGATCACATAGCTTGGATCGTAGTTAATTTTCGGAAACTCGGACTGCATAATCTCCATTTGCCGCAGAGAAAACTCACTGCTAACATCCGCAGTCTCGTAGAACTGCACATAATCCATGGGCGTGTGGATATCTTTCAGCTCAAAAGCCTTGGCCTTCTCCTCTTTGGTAAGCGTCTCTGGCTGGGCGGCGGGATTGCGATACTGCGCCATCTGATATAAATGCAGCACAGTTTCATGCTCGAAGCGAAAGAGACATAGCTGGGCCAGATTATTAAAGCGCTGCCGAAACCATAAGAGTGTTAATTAGAGAATAAACATCTTTCCAAAAGCCTTTAACTTACATCTTCGTCGGAGGTATGCAGAGAGGCCATTGCGCTGCTGATCACGGACACGGCATTGATGGCATTGCTGGGCATATCGCTTTGATCCAGGCTCGAGGTGTTCGTGGTGGTTGCGCTCGTCGAATCGCTCTTCTGGACGCTCAGCTCCGCCAGATCCAACTTCTCAATATCAGCGTCCCGGTTCTCCTTCTCCGTGTTCGCGACCAGCGGATCCTCCATCAACGATGCCGCTGTAAAGTCCGCCGAACTGCTGCGGCAGTGCAGGTCCACGTAGTGTATGCCATAGAGTATGTTGGAGCTAATGAGTATTTCCTGGGTGTGCTTGGGTATCTTGTAAACGAACAGCGGCTTCAGGCTGATGTCGATGCTGTGCACGGTCAAGCTGTGACTATTGCTGTGCAGGGCGCTCAGCAGAAAGGTGCTGCGCAGGTTCTGTATGTTGTAAAAGGATCCGGAGGTGGTGCCGAGTGGTTCCGGCGTTACCGAAGGCGAGTCCATGATTGCAAAAGAGCCCATCGTCGAGTCGGGCATAACTGGAACAAATGGGATATATTACTTTTAGTACCATTACATGTAAGTGCAGGAATTGAGCTGTTTCTACTTGGTCTGTCAAGTGTGAGAGTTGTGCAAACTCAAGCAAGCGACGCTTCAAAAGATGCAACAGTTCTCTTAAAACTGCACACCAATAAACAAATATAAAATACACAATAAAACAGCATTTAAATTAACAAATATAAACTATATAATAATGTAGGCGAGAAAATATGTTAAAGTAGGGAGTAAAAAAACCAATATCTTGTTACTTCAGCTTACGCACATTCATCGAACTTTTGCCGCTGATCGGAAAGTCGCATCTTGATGGCCTGCAGCTTCTTCGATCCCAGACTCTTGAGCGAAGCCAGGCGGGCTCTTGTCGCGGGTAGAATGCCATCCATGCTGCCAGCTGGCAGTTGTTGCTGCTGGAAGCGGACGCCACCCTGCTCGCCGGATTGCCTAGCCACTGCCTCACTGTAGGAAGGTGGCGCCGGTGGTGGAGGCACATCTGCAGTGGCAGCTTCTGCGGATGCCGGGACGGCGGACGAGTCTGAGCTGGCTGCTGCTGGACCATTGCATCCCGCATCATCGCTGGACGGAGGCGCGAAAACATCCTCTTCCAGTTGGCTACTGTCCGAGGCCGGATCGGAACTATTGCTTTGTCGGGCGCCTGTTGCTGCATTTTGATGTTTCTCCTGCACGGACATCACGATCTGCCAGGCACCCTCGCGAGTTGTTGGGGAACTGTCTCCGGGATAGACGTACTTGATTGCCTTTTGCTCCAGCAGAAGTTTGTACTGCTGCTTCAGGGAGGAAGTTATCTGAAAGACGGTTAATCATATTTTATCATCTGGAAACATAAATAAGTGGACAAAATCCTTACCAGCAGCATAACGCCATCGTAGGCTTTGTCCTTGCAGATAACCAGGCGCATCACAGATCCGTTTTCGATGGCAGTGCTCGCAATCATGGGGCAGTTGGGACTCAGGCCCACAAAGCAGATGGAGCCATCCGAGTAGCCAATAATGGCCCTATTCTGTCCACTGTTGGTCTTCCACCAGACGACGGACAAGGGAAAGGGGCAGGTCTTGGACGCCATGAAGGAGGCTGCCATCACCTGACTATTGCCGGTGGCATCGATCGTCTGCTGCTGTTGCTGCTGCAGTGGCTGCACTGCCTCCTCAGTTCCGCTGTTCCGCACCAACATGTGCTCGGGCAGATCGTGGCCAAGAGGCTCCTCCTCCTCACCCTCCTGCACTCTGACCTGCTCAAGATTCTCAGCCAACTGATCCACCGGCTCCGCAGTGGACTCTTCCAGACCGGTGGTGTGATTGGGGCACTTCTTGGAGTTGGGACACTCGTGGGGGCCCACGAATGGGATGATGTAGGAGGTGACCTGGGTGGTGCTGTACAGCGAGCAGGCGGCCAGTCCATGGGCCTTGTCCACCAGCGCCAGGGCGGGCACGATGTGTAGTGTGTTGTCGAAACCTGTTGATGGAGCAGTGGATAAATGGTGTTCAAGTAAATGCTCCATTCGATCGTTAAATCAAAACAAAGGGGAGGCAGCAGAAAATCAATAGCCACACACGCACACATGGGGGCAAAGTAATTTTAGCAGCACCACCATCGCAACCACCCACCACCCATCACAAAAAAGTGGGTGGTGCTCAAACTCTCATGCTTTCATACTCACATAGCACCAGCAGCCAAACGCCCGCCGGATCGAAGCAGATGTCGTGGATGACGCGGTTGCGGAACCAGGATATCATCTTGACCACCTCCTGGCCGGAGGAGGCGCTGATGTAGCGCAGCAGGATCTCGTTTTCCTCAGAAACGAGGCATAGGAACTGCCGCTTTTCGTCCAGGCCCGCTGTCACCGCGGATAGCTTGCAGCTGATGTTCGTGATCAGCGGGCGCAGCTCGAACATGGCCAGCTCCTTGAGCTCCGCCTGCCCCGACATCTCTAGGGGATTGACGGACGTGGGAGAAGCCAATTTTATGTTCACAAAATCAGTTCGACGGGAACGAGCCTTTTCCAATCCGAATGAAAACAAACTAGTGACGGCCGCGTGAGACAAGCGAGCGGTCTGGCAACGCCCCAATCACGCACCGACTTTCCAATTGGAACGCAGTTTCCACAGCTTTTTTGAGGCAACAAATAAATTTAGAAATAGCGCGGCCTCCCTCTGCACCGCACAAGCTCGCGAAAACAAAGCAAACCGCCTTAAGAAGTTCGCCCCGGATTGCCGCAACCGTCCGGCAACGCTACTCGTGCTGCGCACAATACTTCACTCTTCGGGCTGTTAAACAGTCCGCCGCGACTTTTCCATGCAATGGTCGGTTCGTATGCGACAGCCACCGTCTTTCACACCCGTTTGGGTGAATTTCACTCGCGGAAAACCTGCGAAAAGCACGAGTCAAGGCGAAAATTCATGCCCGATGGCCAAAGCAGCAGCACTGAAAACATCTGATTGACAAACTGGAAGTCGGCCAGCCTGGCAACGCCGTATTCTCCCGTCAAACGGTCACACTGCCCCCGTGCATCCCTGCAATCGAAAATAACGGCGGGAATCGACGGCGTCGCTTGTATGAATATCAACAACGCAAAATTAATTGATAAAAGCATCTTCAAAGTGTTAGACGTGTCTTCAATTCAGTTGGCGATGGAATCGCGGTTACCAAAACCGTCGGGCATCAAGCGACCCCAGATGCCGGTGAAAACCGTGCTGCCCACAGATCGGATTCGCGCAGGATTAGGAGGAGGTGGAGCTGGTGGAGCCGGCGCCTTCAATGCCAACCAGACATACTGCGGCAACGTGCTGCCGCCCCTCTCAAGGGACCTCAACAATCTGCCCCAGGTTCTGCAGCGCCGCGCAGGAGGAGGTGAGTTAGGAAGCCGCCATTCAGAGGATTCCCCTTTAATCCTTGCTCATTTCTGATAGTACGTGCCGCCTCTCCGGAGCCCATGAAGATGGGCAACCGGGCCAAGCTGAGACGCAGTCGCAGCGCCTGTGACATCAACGAACTGCGTGGAAACAAGCGCACTGCTGCTGCTCCTTCATTACCCAGCATTCCCAGCAAAGTGTCCCGCCTGGGCGGTGCACCCGCTGCCCCCAGCCAGCGAGCAGTACGTCCTGCGGCCGCCACATCAACCACTTCCACAGCTGTCAAAAGACCACCAGTAACGCGTCCTGCCCCTCGAGCTGCCGTGGGAGCAGCCGCCAAGAAACCAGCAGGAACTGCCGCAGGTTCTTCCGCAGGAGGCGCAGCTACTGCTACGACCAAGCGCATCGCCCCCTACGACTTCAAGGCCCGCTTCCATGATCTGCTGGAAAAGCACAAGGTGCTTAAGACGAAGTACGAGAAGCAAACAGAGGACATGGGCGAGCTGGAGTCCATGCCCCAGCAGCTGGAGGAGACGCAGAACAAGCTCATCGAGGCGGAGAGCTCGCTGAAGAACATCCAGAGCGACAACGAGTGTCTTCAGAGGCAGGTGAAGCAGCATACCGCCAAAATTGAAACAATCACCTCGACGCTGGGCAGGACCAAAGAGGAGCTCTCCGAGCTGCAGGCAATACATGAGGTTAGTAGTTAATTAAGTAAAAACTCTGCTTAAATTTAACAACAATGTGTTGCAGAAAGTAAAAACGGAGCACGCTGCTCTGAGCACAGAAGTGGTCCATCTGCGCCAGCGCACCGAGGAACTCCTGCGCTGCAATGAGCAGCAGGCCGCCGATTTGGAGGTCTGCAAGGAACAGCTCTTCCAGTCGAACATGGAGCGCAAGGAGCTGCACAACACGGTCATGGACCTGCGCGGCAACATTCGGGTCTTCTGTCGAATACGACCGCCGCTGGAGTCCGAGGAGAACCGCATTTGTTGCACCTGGACCTACCACGACGAGTCGACCGTGGAGCTGCAGAGCATTGACGCACAGGCCAAGTGTAAGATGGGCCAGCAGATCTTCTCCTTCGACCAGGTCTTTCACCCGCTCTCCTCGCAATCGGACATCTTCGAGATGGTCTCGCCGCTCATCCAGTCGGCCCTGGATGGCTATAACATCTGCATCTTTGCCTACGGACAGACGGGCAGTGGCAAGACCTACACGATGGACGGCGTGTCGGACAGTGTAGGCGTCATACCGCGCACGGTGGACCTACTCTTCGACTCCATCCGGGGATATCGCAATTTGGGCTGGGAGTACGAGATCAAGGCCACTTTTCTGGAGATCTACAACGAGGTGCTGTACGATCTGCTGAGCAACGAACAGAAGGATATGGAAATTCGGATGGCCAAGAATAACAAGAACGACATCTACGTCTCCAACATAACGCAGGAGACGGTTTTGGATCCCAATCACTTGCGCCACCTTATGCACACGGCCAAGATGAACCGGGCCACCGCATCGACAGCTGGCAACGAGCGCTCCTCCCGTTCCCACGCAGTTACCAAGCTGGAACTCATCGGACGTCATGCCGAAAAGCAGGAGATCTCGGTGGGGTCCATAAACTTGGTGGATTTGGCCGGATCTGAGTCCCCAAAGACCAGCACGCGCATGACCGAGACGAAGAACATCAATCGCTCGCTATCAGAGCTGACCAACGTAATCCTGGCGCTGTTGCAGAAGCAGGACCACATACCGTACAGGAACTCTAAGCTGACGCACCTCCTAATGCCCTCGCTGGGCGGCAACTCGAAAACACTTATGTTCATCAACGTCTCGCCGTTCCAAGACTGTTTCCAAGAGTCCGTCAAGTCGCTGCGCTTCGCGGCCTCCGTAAACTCTTGCAAAATGGCCAAGGCCAAACGGAATCGCTACCTAAACAACTCGGTGGCCAACAGCAGCACACAGAGCAACAACAGCGGCAGTTTCGATAAATAAAGAATGCATTTTGCTGCCAGTTTTAACAATTTCCAAATTTCTAACCTGTTATTGCTTAATTTATGTGTTTACTTTTAGTGCAAATAAACTAATAAAGCGCTGGAATTCAATGCTATCCTACTTGGCTCCCACTGCCGCTCGCACCTCGGCGGGAATCTTTTCGACCAGCGCGGCATGGTTCTGTCCCAGGCTAGCCAGCACTCCCTGGCGATTCACGTGCTCCACATCCGCATTGTAGGCGTAGTGCTCGCCGTTGATGTTGGTGAGACAGCCGCCTTGGGCCTCAAGAACGGCTTCGGGTGCGCAGGTGTCCCACTTCTTGCATCCTGGTGTGGCAAAGACGTAGGCATGGGCCTTGCCCTCCAGCAACTGGAGCACTTTGAACCCAGCGCCTCCGACTTTCAGAACTTCCGTGGATGCGAATGCATTGAGGGCTTGCTGATGCAGGGCATTGGAATGCGAGCGAGTGGTGGTTATGATGAACTGGCCGGCTGGCGCGGGCACCGCCGTGAATCCTCCCGTGCCCAGACCCTTCAGGCCCCAAATGGTGCGACCCATTTCGCCATCGGGCTGTTTGTAGAAGGGCTGATGAATGATGCCGCCCACAGCAGCATCCTTCACAGCTATGCCGATCAAGACGGTCACGTGTTCCACGTGTCCTGCGGATGAAAGGAGTAGGTTTTATATACATAAGGAGCTATACACATAGTTCAAGATCGCACCCTGTGTATACTCCGCTGTGCCATCCAGGGGATCCACCCAAATCACGAAGTCCTCGGGCTTGACATCCTTCCACTCAGTGGGACAACTTTGCTGCAGGAATCCCTCATCCAACTCGTTAACCAGCCAGTCGTCGCAAACATTCAGATCAGATCCCCCTTCCTCGCCAATGATCTTCACGGTGGGGAACTTGTTGGCCAAGGAGGCGATGATGCAGCGCTGGGCAGAGCGATCTGCCTCCGTCTGGGGATCGTTCTTGCCCTTGTCCACAATGCCTAGGTCGCCTTTCTTGAGCACGTCGCGGATGATTCCGCCAGCCCGCTTGGCGGTGCTGATCGAGGACGCCATGACGCGCATGATCACCGGAGAAGTTGCAGCCATCGTTATCTTATTTGTAGGGTACAAGGATGTGGGAGATCTTTTCAAGTTTGGAATGCGATGTTTTCGCCGCTGCGGAGAAATGAATGCGGTGAAAGTACAACAGCTGATGGCGGCTAGAGAGGAGCAGACTCCCCCGTCAATAGATGAAGTTTTAGTTAATAAAGAAATATTAAGTTTTAAAAATCATGTTTAAATTGTTTTTAAATTCGATATTTCTTCATGATATTTACAATTACAAATTTATTGTTGCGGGAATATCTGGATTTTTTATAGCTGTAAATAATCGGCAGTGCAGTCTGGCAACGCTGCAGCCACACAAGACCTTTGGACCACCCGCCCCCCCGCCGCCCACAAATCAGTTCATTTCCATCTTGAAGAGGTAAGTTCTTGAAACTCAGTCAATTTCTGTAAATTTGCTAAATATTTCGACTAATTTTGCAGAAAATGGCCCGTGTTTTGGTTGGAGTAAAGCGTGTGATCGACTACGCCGTCAAGGTGAGCTTTAAAAGTCGCCTGTTGCGCATCTTGTGCCATTAATTCCTTTATCACTTGTTGCGCTCCGTTTTGCGTAATCGCCTTAATTAAGCGGCAATTAAACTAATTCCGGCAATTGTTCCCATGTACAGGTGCGCGTCAAGCCCGACAAGAGCGGCGTGGTCACCCAGGGCGTGAAGCACTCGATGAATCCCTTCGACGAGATCGCCGTGGAGGAGGCGGTGAAGCTGAAGGAGAAAAAGCTGGCCGAGGAGGTGATCGCCGTCTCCGTGGGCCCTGCCCAGTCGCAGGAGGTGATCCGCACCGCCCTGGCCATGGGTGCCGATCGCGGCGTTCACGTGGAGATCCCGGCCGCTGAGTACGAGCTCCTACAGCCCATCCACGTGTCCAAGATCCTGGCCAAGTTGGCTCTGGACGAAAAAGCCGACCTGGTGATCCTTGGCAAGCAGGCCATCGACGACGACGCCAACCAGACAGCACAGATGACTGCCGCCGTGCTCGACTGGCCGCAGGGCACCTTCTGCAACAAGATCGAGAAGACGGACGCCGGTCTGACCATCACCCGTGAGATTGACGGCGGTCTGGAGACGATCAAGACGAAGACCCCGGCTGTGCTGAGCGCCGATCTTCGGTTGAACACTCCTCGCTACGCCACGTTGCCGAACATCATGAAGGCCAAGAAGAAGCCACTGAAGAAGGTGACGGCCAAGGATCTCGGCGTGGACACCTCGCCCCGCATCGAGGTCATCTCCGTGGAGGATCCTCCAGTGCGCCAGGCCGGTGCCACCGTTGCCGACGTGGATGCCCTGGTGGCCAAGCTGAAGGAGGGCGGCCACATCTAGATGTTCCTCAACTAGCAAATTGTGAGCGCAAACTCTACGTTTTTAATTAGTTGAAAGTTATCAGAAACGTGCATTTATCTAGCCGGAGAGTCGGATTTGCTGACAGGCTTTAAATTTCTCTGAATTCAACCCATCCCCGTGTGCTTTAAGTGAAATCTAAATTGGAATTCATTCTCGTTGTGTCCAGCTGTAAGAATAAAGTGATTGTAAGCTCTGAAATCGTACGATCAAGGTCAGCAAATGGCTGAACTCGTCTATTTTTTCTCTCTGCGGATGATTCCTTTTCAGGAAATCCCGCTCAACTTGGCGCCCAAAACCGGCGACAGGGTCAACAGCCAATGGTCAATGATTTTCCATTGTTTTCAATCGTTTTTATTAGCGGTTAACTTGAAAGGAGAACATTTGCTAACGTGTATTATATAAGAGTAAAAATGGCATAGAGATAATATATGTTGTTCATGAAATAGTCAACTACAGGCTAAAATCGTTTGTTTTCGTTTTGGACGATCATGACACACATGCTTATACTATAAAGATACCTATGTGTATAAAATTGTAAAAAGAGAGTAAATCGCCTAGGGTAGATATAGATAAGGGTGGGCCGACATTCCCGATGGAATATTGGAGAGGCGAAAGTTGATCTAAGATTAAGTTTAATTGAAAATTTCAAATTTTGAGATCTTTGTTCAGTGGGCAAGAAAAATTATCAAAAAAGCAGTGTCAAATATAGGCCGGAGTAAAATGTCTTAGATTTCTAAGTTTATCGAACTACCCACCCCAACATATAAATACAGACGGGTAAATGCGACATTAATAAATGTCAATTGAAAGATACTTTGTGCTTAAATAAAATAAACGGGCAGTGGCACCAATCTCGTCAAGCACTTGGCCAGGGTAAAAAAGTGTTGTATAAAAATATGCTGCTAAGGCCGTTAGCCCATGAAGTTTTAACTTAATTGCGACTCGGTTTATCACACACCTCGCCGTACCCACCGTTTGATCCATACCATTAGCCATCAAACCCGTCCAGCTGGAGCCAGCTGCTTGTCGCTGAAACGCAGAATGCGCGTCAGCATGGTGGTGATGCAGGGTATCTGCTTCTGCTGGTGCATCTCCGGAGTGTCGGGGGTGCACGACTCGAAGTCCACGGCCACACGCTGGCACACGAATGTGAGCAGGGTCAGGATGTCCAGCCGCTTGCCATTGGCCGCCAATTCGGCGCACAGGCTCTGCATGAACCAGCTGCCGCGGGTCGTGTTGCGCCACGAATAGAAGCCGGGAACCGTGGAGTAGGCGATCAGAAAGTCGGCGTGCACTGGAATCTTGTAGCTCATTGAGGAGTCGCCATCGGTTTCCGTCTGACCACGCTGCATGGTCACTCCGCCATCCAATCTGTCGCCCTGGCAGGCCTGTATGAAGAACAACTTGGGTTTGCCGGCTAGCGAGGGACAGTGATTGGCCGTGAAGAAGCTCCAGATGTTCTCCAGCTTGTACTGCGTGTCCTTGGCGTAGATGTAGCCCATCTCGCCATGCGACAGGATGGCGACCAGAATGCAATCACTGTCGCCGTGATTCTGTGACGCTGCGTACTCGATCGTCCTCAGGATGTCCTTGTAGCGGCAGTCCTTGTACACGGTCACTTCGAAGTCCAGCTGCTTGAGCACACGAGTCAGATTCTCGCAGTCCACATTGGTTCCCGCCCGGGATTTCAAGGTGGGCACCTCGAAGTGCTCATGGTTGAAGATCAGGGCCATTCCACGGTTCTTGTGACGCATGTTGTACTCGGCTGCATGGCGGTCGGTCACCATTTTGACCACATTCTTGCGGTAGCTGGACGATGGTGAGCTATATCCGTTGGCCAGCTGCCCAATGGCTCCGGTTCCGTACGGATGCGAGGATCCTGCGACCAGTCCGCTGCTACCCGCTCCTCCGGATCCCACCGAACCCAGGGCATCGGTGCTATCGTTGGGCTGCTCGGGATTGTCCACCCTAATGCCCACCTGGTCGGCGGATTCTCCATTGTTGCTGGCGTCCATGGCGAAATTCTCTCCTTGAGCCTGCGAAAACTGATGAGTCACAAGCACTGTGAAACTGCTTTTATCAAATCCGTGAAAATCGGAGATGTACGACTTGGGCGAATTGGCTTGGTTCTGGGGAAAGCCCGTGCTTACGCGCAACAAAGACAGCTAGTTATTAACTAATTACTTTAGTGGTTTGCGTTTTTGTCTTGAGATCTGTATGACCGTTGCAGACAGTTGAAAAACACCAAATAGCGCCTGATCTAGAGATGACACTTTCGCCCTCGTGACACGATTATGGTAAACAAAGGAAAATTACTATATTTATTTTAAGGAATGGAGAGTACTGCGAGTACAACGAGAATAATTTGAGCGGATACTTGTGTAATCGCTTCTGAAACATAAATAGATGTAGCATGCATAAGTTAGTTACATAAATTATTTTAAAATTCAGATTACAGTCTGAGCTGGAACGAAAACATCAGCTTATAAAGGAGGGAGACCGCTATTGGATTTTCAAAAAATACCCCAAAATACCGTAAAATACGCTATTGTGCACGGTCACATCGACATTAAGGTTTGAGACGCACTGTTGAAATTGTTGAATTGTTTCATTTTGTTTAAAAATTAAGAAAATTGCCAATGTTCTGGACACCAGAGCAAGTGGAGAGCATGCTGGAAGTGCTGAACTCCTCCACGGATCGAACAGTCATTTACAAATGCCTCGTGAAGCTGCGCACCGACCTGGTGAAGGATAAAAATGGCATTGTTTTATTTCGTACTGCTGGGGGCGTTCACATCATGGTGGGTTTGGGAGTCACAACACTCATAGTGGTTTGACAGCCATTGTTGCTCACATAGGATCGTTACTTGAATCGATTTTGAAAATTATCTTTAATTGCGTCTTCCAGGTGCGCCTTATCACAAAGCTGAATGAAAAGATCATGGAGGTGGTATTGAGCATACTGGGGAACTGCTGCACTGACGAACAAGCTTGCATTGAGGTGAGAAAATCAGAATAACATCTATTACACTCACAATTACACTGTATTTTATGAAATTCCATATTCCAAATTATATTTATGAAATGGTTATAAAAACTTCCCATTTGCAGGCCGTTGAATGCAAGGTGATTCCTCCGCTGGTGACCATTCTAAAGACCATACCTAATCCGCTGATCCAATGCCGCGCATGCCGAATGCTTGGAAACATCGCCAAGAGCAAGAAGGCGTCCCAGTATCTCAACGTGCACTATGCGGCCATTGCGCCGGCCATTTGCCACATCATCGAGTCCACCAGCGCGGTACAGACCCGCATCATGGCATTCCGCGTCTGCCGTTTCCTTTTGGCCAGCAGCCAGTTTTTGAAGCACTTCCTCATGGCCAATGGGTTCCAGCAGCTAATGCGCATTTTCCTGGCCGTGATGAAGAACGACGAGGCGCCAAAGGAGCCCGTTCCGGACATCGAGATGTCCACGCTGATTGGCCTGAAAAGAAACCAGCACCGCGAGAAGTATTTCGAGGAGGTGGCACGGAATTTGGAGGGTGTACGTAGTGACATCTTCGACCACCAGATGCTCAAGAACGCCACCAGGAACTGTGACTATGCGCTGCCCAAGGAAAATGATGCGGCCGTTGAGCTGGCCCTCGAGATTCTGAAGTGTCTGGTCCTGATCTCAGCTCAGCAGATTGGACTGAAAGCTTGGGAGGTAAGATTGGTCAGTTCTTCAAAAGAATGTAGCTAATACCTATTTCCTATTAGTCCATTACCTGGAATACCTCGCTCGCCTCCATTGTGTGCTTCGTAAAGGAGGATGGCGACCAGCGGGCCTCTGCCTTGAAAATCCTCTCGAACTTCTGCAAGGATCCCTTCGCCTTCTATATGCTGAGCACTGCGGATGCCATTGTGGCTGCCTGTGAGATGCTCATGGCAGTGAATATGGCAAAGCCACTGAGCGAAAGCGAGAGCCGGCACTGCATCAACATCATCTTGACCCTATCCACCGATGCCTGCAGCCGCTCGAAGATCCGAAGGTGTGGAGCACTGCGCAAGCTGGTGGCCATGATTCGGGACTCCAACTCGCAGAGCGAGCGATCATCGGTGGGATGAGATACAAATCGCTCTTCACTTTTGAAATTTAATGGTTTTCGTTTGTACCCAACAGCTATTCCACATTCTGTACAACTTTCAATATGATAACTTGAGCATGGAACTTATGCTTTATGAAGGACTAGTGCCCATGCTGGTGAGGGAACTAAACGATTACCTGACCAGCGATGACGAGCATCACAAACGTCGACGAGACGAGAGACTACAAGGCGGCAAAAAAAGAAAACTGACGGATCCCACAACACCAGAGACCCTGAGCAAGGTATTTCATGGCAGCATACTTTATCAAGCCACTGGTTAATACACACATATTTTATACACAAGTTCTCAAAAACGCACGAGACCTTAGGATCGGACTTTGAATCGCCGAGCAGTTCACCCAGGTCTTATCGCACAACCAGTCCCTGCAGTTCGCGCAGCATGTCTCCGGTGTGCAAAGATCTGCTGACGAACGATGACGACGACAACTATTCACCGGCATGCAGTGATGATGACGAAGATGAGGATGACAGCACAAATAACAGCAATGGAGACACCAGAGAGCGCCGCATAGCCGCCAATCGTTCCCAGCCCTCCAATGTTTTGGATATACTGAAACTAATCGAGGAGGGCAGCGAACCCATTGACGATCCGCTGTCGGACAAAGAGGATCTCGAGGAACTAAGCTCGGATGTGCCACCGAAACTAGCCCAGTTCCGCAATCACGCATGCAACACCATTGACATAATTGAGAACCTTATCTATCGCATTACGCTGATGGTGAACAAGCGAGTGGAGCTGGGAAAGCCGGAGACACTGGATACTCTGATAAGAGCAATCAAATTGTTTGGGGCGAACAATAATTTCTCAAACGCCCTGACATATATTCTACTGTAAGTTGACAAGGTAACCTAATGATTTATATGTATTCTGATTGCAACTATACCCTTTCAGGGAGAGCCAGTTCTTCGCCAACATAATAAAGCATGGCGTGGTCCATCAACTGTACCAGTTTACCAAGATAAAGGAGGTAAATGATCTCATTCCCCTAATGTTAATCAGAGCTAATCGCACGTATTTTTTAGATCCGCAAAGACGGGTTCGCCTTCTTGGAAACGTTAACCAATGTGGGAGAATCGAATTATGGCAAGGAGGAGCTAGTGCGTCTCCTGCGCTGCGACGATGTGATATCCCAACAGAGAGCCGCCATTTCGGTGGCCTACATCGTGAAGAGCCATCGATTGCTCTACCAGTTCCTGTACGACGGCAATGCGCTGAACATGCTATTCGACATGATGCTGCGCAAGAAGACCGATGATCACTATGCAGATGAGGCGGCCGATGCAGTGACATCGATGGCGCGATATACGCTGGGCATCGTTCTGCCTGAAGCCAAACCAGTGGAAAGCACAGCAGGAATTTGCAACCAACGGGCCAGTGAATCTGCACCACTTCACGCCAACTGCGACATGCGATTCCTTGTTGGTCATGGAGCGGAAGCCACCTCGATTGGGTTTAACAAGCAGCTGCTCTGCGAGACCAGTGAAGTGTTCAACAAGATGCTCAACAGCGATTTCCGTGAGGGCCATCACGGCGAGATTCAGCTGCAGGATTACACGGCCAGTGGACTGCGCTACTTTCTGCATTTGATCGTGTGCCAGGAGCGGCATCTGACAGAGCCGGATTATCCTGCCCTGCTGCAGGCCTTCGAGATGGCGCGCGTGTACATCATGCCCGAGATGGAGGTGGTACTGCAGCAAAGACTCATCCAGTTCCTGGACTCACAAAACTGCCTGCGCCTGCTCGAGTGGGCGCTGAAGAACTACCATGCCGACCTGACGGAGACTGCCATCAGCTATTATCTCTGCTCCTCGCTGCCGACGCAGGAAAAGCTTCAGCTTTTCCGGGCGGCGGAGGACTCCACCTATGCCAGCGAGTGGTTCCAGCTGCTTAACGATTCGGTGTTCGAGCGCTGCCGCGGCTATGTCTACTAGACACCACCACCACCAGTTGCTTTCTGTGATCACATTCTGGCGTTTTCCATTCCCTGGATTCAGCTCGATTTATTTGCCACAGCCCTTAGCCAAGTATTCCAACGTGCTACAATGTATATGTAAAATGTATAGACTACGGATTAATCTAAATCTTCTCCCGCCTGTTTGTTGACTCGAAGGTGGGCATGGCGCAGAAGCGCACCGTAAGCCAATCCACCAGCGGCGTGGGGCACAGCGAAAAGAGCCAGCGATACAGGCGATATCTACGGGGTTCCTCGATGTACAAGGCCAAGGGTTGTGAGCTGGTCAATGCATCCTTAAATTTGGCCAGCAGCGACTCGTTCCTCAGCCGATTGGGCGGCTTAAAGCCGCTCAGAACTTTCAGATAACCATTGAAGGCCTCGAAGTACGTGTCGTACAGAGCGTGTTGCTCCGGGCTGAAGGCTTCGCGCATCTTCTGAGCATGCTGCTGCTGTCTGGCCGCAATGTTGCTGTCCAGGACAAAGGAACCTGGTATGAAGTTGACCACCTCCATGCCATACTGCTGCAGTTCCACGCGGAGCGCATCCGTCCAGAAGCGAAGGGCTGCCTTGGAGGCGGCATAGGGACCAAGAGCGGGCAGAGCCTGCAATCCACAGTGGCTGGTCACGTTGATGATCCTGCCCTGCTGCTGCCTGAGCAGGGGCAACAGCTCGCGGGTTAACCTCATGGTGCCCAGCAGGTTGCAGTTAATCTGTGCCTCGATCTGTTCCGGTAGCTGCCACTCGAATTCCCCGAAGCACATTACTCCTGCATTATTTATCAGCGCAGTTAGCCGATAGCTGGGGTCTTTGGCCAGTATATCCCTCAGCTGCTGATGCACCAGGCGAATGGAATCGGGTTCCAACAGATCTAGTTCCAAGGTGTGCATCCTGGTGAGTCCAACACCGGACGAGCTTAGGTCCTGCAGCAGCCTAGCTCCATCCGACTTGATGTTGTGGCAGCACGAAACCACGGTCATGTGCAGCGACTCGTGGCAGTAAACGGCCATGGAGTGGCTATCAAGAGCATCGCGTTAGTAGCTTCAACTTGCCCCGGTTCAGTTACCTTACCCCAATCCCGAATCGCAACCCGTGATGAGCACCACATGCCGGCTATCGACCTTCAGCTGGTGCCTGCCCAATCCCAGTGATCGTCGCAGGGCGCGAAGAAGTTGACTGCCGCTCATATCGCCGCTTCTCGAGTAACTGAAACAAAGATCCGATTCGCGGCTGCACCGAAAGCGGCAGATCCGAAAAATGCAAAATAAGGCAAACCGAAAATGAATATATGCGGTGTGTGTGTGTACGTATGTGCCATTATCAGTCGTTTGGAGGAACACGGCTGCGTTTACCTGCCCTTCAGGCTGGTCTTTATGCAAGGAACTTGGTGTTTAGCTGCTGATTAAGAGCAATATGTGGTTTCAATAACTAAAAGAGTCACAGTTTCAAGTTATACCCACTTTCTCGAGGAGGTTCAATTCCGTAGAGCCTTGTGAAATCAGCTAGTCTGTAGAAATGGAAAGGGCCGTTGAAGAGATGCAACCTTCGTTGGTCCACCCTAATCTACCTGATGTGTTTACCTGACGACGAGCCAGACCATTTGCAAGTCATGTGAATCGCTGGAAATAACTCCACAACTCGACTTTAGGTTTTTCGGTGTTTTTATTTTATTTTATTCCATTTCATTTTTCAATTTTGGTGTTTTTCTGCCCTTATAAGTGCATTTAGTTGCTATCGATCGGTTTGGTTTCGGATAGATAGAAATTTTGAATATTCAGAGAAGTTACTGTGGAAACTGGCGAGAGTTGCTATACCTGATCAGCTTTCGTTAAATCGTTTTGGGTTTTGGGTTGAGGCTAGGTATACATAATACATAATACATAATTACATATTAAATAATTGCTTTGCTTTTGTCATTTCTTATAAATGGTATTTGAAAATAGCGCATTGTTGCGTTTAGTAAAAATATATTTGGGTTTCTACTGCAGCTTACAGAGTACAATAAGTATATTTATCTCATTTCACATTTGCTTTTGCTCAATATAAAACTTGCTTCAACGCCATTATTGTTTAGCTTTAAATGTACATACATCTCTATAGATCTCTATATATAAAGGTTTGCATTTCTTAATTCTCTCTCAAGGCATTGTATTTAGTTTGTATGCTGAATATATTCACTTTGTTTAGTATATTTACGCGATGCGATTCGTTTAAATGTACAATTTTAAAACCGGCTTAGTTCCTTTCATTAGACGCTCCTGCTTTGCTTTCTACTTTGTTTCATCCTGGTATCTTTTGTATTCGTTTTATAATAAATATCACAACGCATCCTCCAAATCTACACGCTCTATTATCCTTATCATTCTCATCATGCATCGTCGGTCGTTCGCGTTCTTATATTTTTTGAAAATATATAACACGCAATGAAAAGGTTTGAAAATTGCACAAATTACAAGTACATAACATATGTAGCTCGGCGTATGTAAAAGACATAGAAAAATCATAAATTAACCATAATAAAGATAATAATACAAAAACATTAGAGTCAACGAAACAAAACATTCGTTACGTTCACGATTACGATTACCATTACATTACAAAAATGAAAACATCTCCTACACTACACTAGAAAAGTGCTTCTTGGTTTCCTTCCTTGCTTTCCGTTTGCTTGTCGTTTTCAGCACATCAACTATATAAAACTTAACTTAATCCTGACTCGACCCCCCTCCCCGTCCCAGATCCTGTCCGGTTATAAGCTGACCAGCTTGGACGGCTCGGCGGTGGGCGTGGGCAGCTCCAGCGGATGCTTGTTCGTGGAGGAGCTGTTGGGCACCAGGGGTCCGGAGACGGGTGTTAGCCCAGTGCCGCCGTCCATCAGGGAGTCGAAGTTGAAGGTGCCGGTCGAGGGCGTCTGGATGGGCACGCCCTGGATCTGCGTGGGGCCACCCGCCTTGTTGTTGGGAAGGGTCAGGTGCATCTGGGCCATGGGCCGCTGGAAGGCCAGCGTGTTGGGCCGCTCCTTGGGCACCTTGTTCAGCGCATTCAGCGTGGGGGAGTTCATGTTGTTGTTGCTGATGCTGTTGATGGTGATGCAGTTGATGCTGCTGCCGTTGGTGGTCACCGGGAAGGCGCTGCCGAAGGCGACGGGCGCCGTGCTCGTGATCGGCGTCTGCAGAGATCCCGACGAGGCACCGGTGGGCGTCATCAGCGTGGACATGTGCGGCATCGTGGACATGGGCGGCAAGGTGACGCGCTTGCTGGGCGGCGGACCGTTCTGGTCCAGGCTGGATCCTGAGTCGATGGTGCTATCGAGTGGCTCGTCCTTGATGTGCAGCATCAGGCTTTCGATGTTCGCCGACGGCTTGAGATCCAAGGGCGAGTTGCTCCTCCCGGTGGAGTTCAGCGTGGCGTCCATGCCCGTGATCGTGCCGTTGCTGCTGTCGTTGCTGTTGTGGTTGTGGTGGCTGCTCGCTCCGCTGCCGTTGCTTCCGGCACTCAGGAGTCCGGTCGGGGCAATCAGACCGTTGCAGGTGTTCACGCTCAGCATGTCGGAGCGGATCTTTTGGCAGGTGGACCGGTGGGCGATCAGAAGGTATTCCAGCTCTGACTTGCTGTTCGTCAGCGCCTCGATCTCCTTGCGCATGGCATCGCCCCGCTTCTCCAGCTGCTCCACCTCCTCGGTGAGCTCGTTGGTCTGGTCCACGCGCCTCTTGCGGCACCGGGCCGCCGCCTGCTTGTTTCGCTCCCGGCGCACGGCACGCTTCTGCTCCTCCTCCGGGGTCATGTTGGTCGACCGGTTGGGACGTCTGCCGCCGCCACGACGAGCCGGCGTGTTTGAGGTATTCGCGTTGCTGCTGCCCGCGGACGCGACTCCACGGCTGGAGTTTACGGCGGCCAGGACATTGGTGAAGTTGTTGGCACCGCCGCCGTTCACACTGCCCGCCATGATGTGGCCAGTTTGGTACGAGGTGCTGTCCGTATGGGCACTTGCTGCAGGCGAAAGAGGGGATTGGGGTTAGTAGGCATTCAGGGGTAAGAGTGCCAGCTCCACTTACAAGTATCGGTCGTGTCCTGCTCCTCGTTCATCTGCATATCGTTGTATGAAGCGTTGGAGTCCTCGGACTCGCTTGCCTGCGCCAAGCTCATATCGTATGATGTCTGAATTGGGATCGTGGTAACTCCGGAGGGAATGCCCATGCCCAGGGCTTCAATGGCTCCCATGGCGTTGGGCAACACCTTTGGCACTGCGAATCCTGCGCAACCAGCTCCACGATCAGCCTGCGTGTCCGAGAGCAAGTGGCCGATGGTGTCCTCGATGTTGCGCGTGGTGGTTGGCGTCAACGTGGGCGTCGTCAGCGTTAGAACACTCTGGGCCTCAAAGCTGCCGAGCTGCAAGAAGAAGTGGGTAATTAGTAAATAATTCAGAAGCTGGATTACTATTAACACCAAGCCCATGACCACAAAGCCCTGCACAGTGTCACATCAGTAATATCGCGCATACGCGGTGTTGCCCCCGCAGATCCAAATGATAATTTACTCGTATGTAATGCCTTGTGAACTTATTCTTATCACATGAGCAATTCGTTGAGTTCAGATACCACCCGACATCAAAAGCGATTGCTAAGTCCGTAAGACCTCTTGCTTATCCGTACATTTCTAGGAATTAGCGAACGTGTTTTTGGCCAAACAAAAGGCGATGAGAGCCAGAGAGAGGCGGCCAATCCATCACTTTGTTTATATCTGCCCACCCCTTTGTTGTTCCGCATTTGTTCTATTTTCGGCGATGAATAAGTACGCACACCGCTTGCCAATTGTTTCGCGCCCAAATCTATACCAATCTCGCCCAGAATCAGAATCAGAATCAGAATCGGAAGCATCATCAATCTGTGGTACCTGCTGTAGGAAAAGCTCGTTGGCGAGGAAAGTGGCTATCTCACTGGCGTCCATTGCAAAGTTGTCGCTGTTGTTGTTGTCGCTGCCAGCAGCTGCGGCAGATGTTGCAGTTGTGCTCGATGTTGCAGCTGCAGTGGCTGCTGCGGCTGCTGCTGTGGTGTTGCATGTTGCTGCTGTTGTCGTGGCAAGTTGCGACTGGCCAGGGGATTCGGTCCAGCCGGAGGCGGCGGCTTGCGACTCAGGAGGGTAATGTTGCTGCTGCTGCTGCTGCTGCTGATAGTAATTAATGGGCATGCAGTTGTTGTTGTACTCCTGATGCTGCTGCTGCTGCTGCTGGTTGAAAAAATTGTGCATTTGGCAGACGGCGGCCATGGCAGCCGCATTGTTGCCGCCACTTGCAGCGTAGGCGCTGCTAGCAACATGGCCATAATTGTTGCTGCTGCTGTTGCGCAGTGGAAAAGCATTGTGGGCAACCGACTGCGGTTGCTGGTAGGCTGGCTGCGTGGGCAGTTGCCGTTGCTGATGACGCAACTGTTGCTGCGGCGCTGGCTGCTGCTGCTGCTGTTGCTGCTGCAGATGCAGATGTTGCTGTTGCTGCTGCTGCTGCAGATGCTGCTGCTGCTGGGCAAAGTGCAGCGATTGGTGGTAGTAGGGCTGGTAGCACGCATTGTGCGCCCTACCGTTGAGATTTTTCATCATTTGGTTGCTGCTTATCAATCTAATCCTAAATATTAAGTATACGCACTCGCGTTGCGTATACGCACAGTTGGGCGGCTGACTAGTATTCGTTATGGGTCTTAGCCTAGCTAAGCTAACACAACAAGTGGGACAACAACGATATATGCGAGTTGTGCTCAAAATCAACAAAAACAAATCTAGATACTATAGTATATGTACAAATTGGGGCTTTGTTCCCCGAAAGTGCGAGAGTGCGAAAGTTCGAAAGTTCGAAAGTTCCCTAGCAATGTGGCGATGATCCTTTCTTGTCTTTATAATTCCGGTCGATTGGACTGTGCTCCTGTGCTTGTTGTTGTCGCAGTGTTGTTCTAGTTGTTCTAGTTGCTTAGAAATTCGTTCGTTTTTGGCTTTGTTTAATAGCTTTTATATTCGTTTTGCCTCTGCGTTGGCTCTTTTTTGTTTTGTTTCTTCAAAAAAGGTTCGTTTGATTTCTTGTTAGCTGCGAGCCGTGAGCAGATTTCGTATATATTCGTTGTTCGGTTGCTCAGTTCCTGAAGTTCTGGCTCTCCGGCGGTCTCAGCCGCTTAACGATAAGCGTTTGCTGATTTCGCAAAGGATTGTAACGCAAGTTCCGCTCGGCGAAAGCGCTCATAATCAACGCAATGTATCGTAACTGTGCGAGGCCCAAAATCCAACGACACGTGTACCCAGTTCCAGTCGGCTCGCGGTGGAGTAGCCCAAATTTGATTATATAATTATAGAGATTTGTGCGGACTTGCGGGTGGGCGGTGAGCGTTGAGCGGTGAGCGTTGAGCGGACTCGAGCCTTGAGCTAGTTCAATTAATGCTGCATTTGTTTCGGGTTGATTTTTTGAAATTCCGCGGCCATGGGCAACGCCTCTCACAGTTATGCCTCCCTTTTCGCTTTTATTTCTGGGTTTGGCTATATATATAATTATACGGCGGCTATATATTTCGATCCACGCGCTTGCAGCCGAGAAATGTGCGTCGTTTTGCGTCTATATATCCTCCTGATTCGTTGTAGCTTGATTTTCTTTACTTCTGATTCGTTTTGGCAATGCACGCGCGCCCAAAAACCAAACGACAATTGCAATTTTCCAAATTTATTTTCGTTCGTTGTTGAGTTTGGCGCTTTGCGTTTGGCGTTTCGCGTTTCGATTCGAGGAAAAGCGCGCGCGCGTTCGCTTTTAATTGTTAGATATTTTCTAAACTTCGATGGTTCGTTGTTCGTTTGCGACTGAATCGCAACAGAATCTCCGGCGAGCGAAATTGGCAACGATCGCGATCGAGAGATCTCCGCGGATATATGTATATACCCACGTATATACGTACACACTACGTATATATTTATACATCTTGAGAACTTGAGCACTAGAGAACTAGAGAACTAGAGAACCCGGAGCGCTGTCTGCTGGGCGTGTTGTGCGAGCTGGCTGCTCAAATTAGAAGACAACCACTGGGAAATCAAATAATCCTAAACGCCGCCTGCTCTTAATTGAGCGGCTGCCCACACGACGACCACGCTCGCTTTTGCCACATTTATAGCGAAATACATATAGTAAATTATAGTATAAAGTGCTGTGTGTGTGTGAGTTAGTTCCGATTTGCCGAATTTACAGCTCTTCTTCGCTTGCGCGGAAAAGCCTTTCAGTCGCCCATAAATCAGGCCCCATGTTTGGCCCAAACCGCTGGTTCCGAATAAACACTAGATACATATGTCTATATTTATATATGTGTGTGTGTGTGGACAGATCCGACAGATGTCCCAGGAACAGGTGTGTGCGTGCGGGACATCCACATTAACCAAGTTTGCAGCTCAGTTCAGACCCCCTGTCTCGCCAAGAGCGTTTATTTCCGTCGCCAGCAAGTTGGCCAATACGCTAATTGCTGCCTTTGTTGTGGGCTAAGAGCGATATATGTACATATGTGCACTGCGCAAGCAGTTTGTACTGCTAGTGCAAAAAGATAGATACATTTAGAAGTAGCAGCCCCTTTTTTCGCTCTGTGCAGCGAGTTGTGTGCTTATTTATTTGGCGATCTTATCGCAGTCGTGTTTCCCAATCCCAAAGGCCGTTCCCTTATTGACAGCAAACAATCGATTTTATTCTTTGTGATATATGTATATTTACTTTTTAATTTCATACGCGGCATTTACTTTCAACTCGGCCGACTTGAGCTTGAAACACCTTTGTTGTTCGAGCTACTTTCGTTGTAACCCACTTTCCCGGCACACAAATGTGCCTTTTGAACTTGTCCCTCGCGAACATGAACCGCATTTAGTCGATGAATCAGTCAATTTAGGAAATGTTCGCCCCATGTACGTATGCAAAACAAGTGATGATATAGAATGCCAACCACGGGCAATCAAGAGCCGCGAATTGAATTGTCTAAATTGAAGCCAGCCAACTGGGAGGGCTCTTATCGGACGGAGGGGCTGGGCACAGAGCCATCTCTGTGCGCCGAGTTCACATCTGGGGGTCAATTATGGGCCAAATGAAGCAGCAGCGAACATCGAACAGCTCGCCGTGGAAGGCAAAAAACAAAACACTGACGTATGCAGCGAAAAACAACGAATTGCTGACTAATACACGCGACTGCTGCAAATTTGATTACGAGCGGCTGCTCAAACCAAACTAAAGTGACCGCCAAAAGTGGGTTTCCATATTCTTGAGAACTTGTGTTGCATAGAAAATATTTTCCAAAATATATTTTTTATTAGCATTAATATTATTTCTCTATATATTCTCGTTCCGGGAAAGGCCACTTTCGAAAGAAATTCTCTAGCAATGCGAACCTATCAATTGCCTGTAAATCCATTTTGATTAGCCCATCAACTTTGACCTTGGCTCTGATTAGTTCAAAATCACATTCGGCGAAATTCAGTTTGCGGGAGAAGGGGAAGGGAAGGGGAGGCGAAGCGGAGGTGCAACAAGTCGAGTGGCGAAGAAATTCTCGGGCCCGAGACTTTGCCTTCTGCTTTCAGCTGACGTGTTGGGCTATTTTTAGGCCAATTTTAGCCTGACAATGACGTAATGGCGGCACAAAAAAACTTGGCATCATCGAAGGCAAAAACAAACACGGTGGCAGAACGACAACAGCGACGACAATTTGCATTGTTTATATCAAAGTGGCTAAAAGGCGTTCGGAGCGGCACAAACAAAGGCTAACAGAGCGCGTTAGCATAGACCGCCGTTTTGGCCAAATGTTAACCAAAGTTGGCAACTCAAAGCGCGTGTTTCGCCTTTGTTTTAACGCTTTAGTTGCTGCTGCTGTGGCATAAATTTGCTGGCAAGCTTGTTAAATGCGAAATATTACAGAAATTGCGGGCCGAAGGTCGTCGCTTGTTTAGTTAGAAATGCGCATAATTATCCGATCCGAGCAAAATACTCGTAATACAATTTTGATTTTCAATCGGCCAAGACCCGGCAAACTGCAGCTCAGCATTGTTTGCTCAAAGTTGCAGCAATGTCACAGCGAAGCTGAAAAGAGACTTGAAGTTGACAAGTTCAAGTGCGGCGTCTTCAGCTTGTGGCGAAATGCACCGCGAGAAATGCATAAAAACTTATAGCTATTCCAGAATAACTTCATCTAAATTAATGCATTTGCCCTCGAAAAATCTGTATATATTTAGTAAGTTACTGCACATTCCGCTTTTGTGTTCGGCGCATCGCCAACTTTGTAAGTGCAACTGGCAATCGCACTTCCCTTGACGATAAGCATAATTCCAGATATGAACCTTTGCCAGACTCTCGTATGAATTGCACATAAATGCAAATTCTGCGAATAAAACAATTAACGCAAGGAGGGGCGGCAATCATATTTGCTGTTTTATTTCATTTCATTTATATTCTCATTTTGCTTCTTTTCTTATTATTTTTGCTGCTGCTGGCAAAGGAGAACGTGACCGCAATGCCCAAGCGAAATGGCCGATTGCCGTGTAGTGTTGACTTCGCTAAGTGCCGCCTGTGTGATTTCTGATGTCTGATGTCCGATGTCTGCAGTCTGGGTCTCAGTCGTTTTTCGGCTGATAAAGCCCCATTTCCCCCAGCCACAGCCGCAGCCCCTGCCCCAACTTTTGCCGGGCTCCAAAGAATTTTGGAGTGGCCCAGAGTCAACGGCCGGCGAAAAAAGTCGACAAAAGTCGCATCCACACGGATTGCCGGCCTTTTTTAGGCACGCAAAACAAAAACACAGAGGGGCCCCATACAACCAACATTTATGCAAAGTACAATGTACATATGTGTACAAATATATATAAATTAAGTAGATATGTGCATGAGCAGAAAGCAGCGCCGTCATTAAAATCACTTGACGTTTGTCCATTTTCGGAACGCCCACACGACCCGAAATTGAATTAAAGTTTAACATTTTCGCTGGCTGACAGGGCGGCCATAATTCAAAATTTGCCAAAAAGCGCAAAGGCAGCGGCGAAATAAATTTGCAGGACTCGAATTCCGCCGGCTCTGAGCTCGGTGTCAAATTAATCAGACTTTTGTTCCGAGGGCGTGGACAAGGGAAGATACAAATTTGCCAGAGATATTCAACAAAAAAAAGGGGAGAAACTGCGCAGAAAGCAGGGCAATGAACCGAGTTCTTATTTGTATTTGTGTTTATTTATCAGCCACCTGGGTTGGGTGGCCAGCTAATCGATAGCACACTTCCCAATGCACTCGGCTCGTTGAGATGGCTTAATTAGGCCGTTTCGGCCAACTAAAGTGGCCAGCGATACACGCAAGCGGGCAGCCAATAAAGTGACGCGACACAAATGGTCTGGGAATAATTTATTTAAATGCATTTCGGCGCGACAGGAAAGCGGGGAAGCCCCTGCAAATGGGCGAATTTATGGCGGAGTGTGCATTCGAGGAAATGGCAAACAAGCGGCGCGACTTTCAGGCGCCAGCAAGGACAACACCCAGCAAAAAGCACAAAGCGCAGAAAGGACGAGCTGCAGCCTAGACAAAATGGTAGGGGGCAGCAGTAAAAGTTGTTTTCACTTTCCATTTGGGTTTTCCTTCGCCTTTGGCTGTGGCTTGGCCAATTCCGAGAAGGACGTGACCGCAGCCATCAAACGCCCAGGACATTTGCCAGCGCGAAATTACCGATGGCAGCTAGAAATAAAAGGAAACACTGGCAACAGAGACAGTCTGCGCCAAAAGGACTCCTTCAATTACAGGACAACCGCTCTGCAATCGCTGTGTCCTGTCAAATTATCTGCAGCAAACTTTGCTGGCAGCTGAAGAGAAGCAATGCCAAACTGCATTTGATTGCGCCGAGATGAAACCCAATTAAATTGACTGGAAATGCAATTAAGTGCGCAGACACATTTAATGCTTAATTCGATCTTAATTGAGTGCACTCCAGTTGCACGCTCCACCAGCATGACGATCGCAGCGGTCCAACTCCACAAAGTTGGCCAAAAAATGCGTTTTTAGGCCAGTTCTAGGGGCTGTGGGCAGCTCTAGACAAAGGAAAGTTATTGTCTGTCCTCGAAGTGATTGCTTTCGTGTCAATGCTTAAACTCAAACTCAAACTCAAACCCAGGTCCAAACCAATCGAAGGCGCCCACATGTGAGCACCCGAAAAACAATTGCGAAAGTCCACGTAAACCCCTCGAAAAAGCACAAACACATTGCCTCAAGAGCAGACCATATACGGCCATTCAGTTAATTAAAAGAAAGTTGGACTTTGGCTGGGGATAATAATGTGGGGGCGCTGCATGTTACATGTAGTGTTTAATGGAACCATTTGGGGCTAAGCAAGTGTTTGACTTGCTGCCCGTCACTTTGAACCGCCCCAATTGCAAGATACATATAGATACGTGTGTATGGGATTATAATGAAAAAACACACTGTCCCTCCATCAAAGTCGAGTATCAAGTGTCACGCGAGTGTGTTTGAGGTTCACGAGTCAAAGGGTCACACAATCGGACCCTCGTTCACTTTCCACCATTAAATTAAGCCCCTTTTTTCGCGTCTTTCGCGGCGGAAAGTGAAAAATAATATTGTATGCACAGAACTTGATAAATTGTCACGAAAATCGCACGTGTGCGATATCAGCGAGTGGCGCCGGTTGTTCCATGTTCCATGGGGAAACAGCACCACTACCACCAAACCAGGCCCAAACCAAAACCAAAACCAAGCCCAAAACCCAGACACAGTTGTCGAAAACCCAGACCGGATCACTCGACTGTGAAGTGCAGTGTGCAAAAAAAATTGGCAACAACGAAAACGGGTGAAAATGGCAAAACAGCAGACAAAACTGCAAGAAGCCG